GTATCGAAAATGAGTTTAATTGATAAATGTCATCTGTGATTCTTTGATTTTGCCAGTTTAGTACTAACATACGTATTGATCAAATAATATACAAACGGGCTACCACCATGTGCGATGGTATCCAGTTCATTAGCGAGCACGATCTTATTAGATAAGGCTTATGTGGCTGTAGGTCGATCATGATCAAATATCACACGATTTTTTAATAGTTTCATTTTGATCGTATCTAACAAAAATTCAGAAATCAGGCTACAATTCAGCATATTTCTGATATTTTATTCATTTTCTCTATAAGTATATATATATACAATTTATAATTTCTAACAAGTTACAACAATTTAGCACAATAAAACAACTGAATATACGTATAGTAATCAAATAGTTGACTATACCTCGAGGTAAGAGGACATCAAAGACAATATGAATGACTGTTTGTTCCAGAAAACCGATAAAAGGTAGATGAGTCGTAAATAACACGTGTTAACTCACATGTTTTATCACCTTTATCATACGCGTGTTGTTCTTGATTAGAATTAGATAATAACGAAGACAATACATGTGAGTTAACACGTGTTATTTACGGCTCATCTACCTTTTATCGGTTTTCTGAAACAAACAGTCATTCATCCCTATCCTTTCATATTGTCTTTGATGTCCTCTTACCTTGAGGTATAGTCAACTATTTGATTACGTATATTCAGTTGTTTTATTTTTGTGCTAAATTGTTTCGACTCAGTTTTCATTTAAAGTATAGAAAAATCATAATCCGTCAATAATCATCGATGAGTAAAACTGTTCTTACTGGTAAATTCGGTAACAATGGAAATAACTAATAACGCTAGAATACGTGCAACTCAGATAAAAAAGACGGTAATAGTGACATGTCGTCGTGCTGGTAAACAAAGAACGATTGTATAATTAGTGAACTACTCACTTACTGGTGCAACATCCGGTATTGGCTATCATTTAGCACAATTATTTGCTAAAGATCGTTATAATTTAGTATTAGTTGCGCGAACAGAACAGGATTTATTGAATGTTAAGGATGAATTAAGATATAAATTTAGTGCAGCAGTTAAAATTATTCCAAAAGATTTATCTAAAATCGGTGCTGCACAAGAAATATTTAATGAAACTCAACAACAGGGTATTCTTGTTGATGTTTTGGTTAACGACGCTGGTATTGGTGACGTAGGCTTCTTCTGGGATATACCATTTGAAAAGGATTTAGAAATGATTCAGTTAAACATTATTGCATTGGTTCATTTAACGAAACTATATTTATCGGAAATGTTACAACGTAATGAAGGAAAAATACTTCAATTAGGTTCAGTTGTCTCATCTGTACCAGCTCCACTGCAAGCTGTTTATTCTGCAACAAAAGCGTTTGTTTCAAATTTTACTGATGCACTCATTAACGAATTAAAAGATTCCAAGGTGACAATGACTCTTCTATCACCTGGACAAACTCAAACAGACTTTTTTAATAAAGCACATGCGTCCGATACAAAAATAGCTCAACCAGATTCAACCGACGATCCAGAAAAAGTGGCTGAACGAGGTTATAAAGCATTAATGAAAGGTCAACATCATGAATATGGTAGTACGATGAGAAAAATACAAGTTGGTGTTAGTCATATATTGCCAAATGAGTTGACAACAGCACAATTAAGGTCGGATATGAAAAAAGTCGATAAATAGAAGTCAATGTAATTGATTATCCTATATTCAAGTTTAAAATACATTTTTCTTCCGTAAATAGATTACCAGTTATTCATGAATATCTCTGGAAGATATTTTGACATTTTCAGAGTCTGAACCAACTTTGAAAAATAAGAAAAATCTAACATAAATCGAAATCTTTTATTAGGTCATGCGAATTTGTGTTAATTTCGATTGAATTATATTTGACCGTTTTCCCAGTGAGTCTGAACAAGAGCTTAAAGGAATAGTGGAAGAGTTTATTTTAGCTTATTTTTTATACAGGACTTCGAAAGAATTGGAGTTGAAATGGTAAGATTTTTTATGATATTGTCGGCTTATGAGTGAGAGCTTTTATTGTTGTTTGCCTCTGGTATTTCTACTATGGTAGTAGTTAGTTTTTAATAGGGGAACAATACGGTTTTTAGAGTGGCATAGGAGAAACTTACCTACTTTTCCAGTCTTTTTTTTGTCTCGAATTTTACACTGCTGCAAAATCTTATTCTTCGTAACCTTGCTATTATTTCATGGAAGCAATTGATGCATGACCAATGACGAACCTCATCGTTTCTATCAAGTCAATACATTTCTTGTTTTAAACTTTTCGAGCAAATATTACATTTTCTACACTTTATCAAGAATTAAATTTATGATATGATATAATGCTAATTTAGTATTCATGACTTGAAGCCAATAATAACCTGTTCAAGTTTGCTAATATACGCAAATCCTTCTTATAGTTGCTTAACTTCACTGCAAGATTTCGAAATAAAAGTAAACATTAATGCACAGTATATGTTGCTCTCTTAAAAACGGCTGAATAACCCGTCGACATATTGGTTGCTGTTTCTGTCAACAGACAAGTACTTTTTAACTTATTGTCTCTAAATGGATTTAATGAGATATTTAGACAGGCAGATTGGCGGTTTCTTTTTCATTAAGTTCAAACAAGTAGATATTAGTATTTCATTCAGTATGGCAATCAATCACCGCGTAGTACGTATCAATGTGCTACAGATAGACAAACAATTTTGTCTGAATTGACAACAAACTCAAACAGTTTATCGTCGAGACATAGCCATCGTATTTAACGATATGTTTAGCAGAGCACAATGGAACAGAGAATGGAAAGAATCACGGACAGCATGCTTCAATAAAGTAGACAGTCCATCTCCTACAATCTCACAACTACGCCCGATCTCACTACTACCTATCTTCAGTAAAAGCTACCAAAAACTTTTCCTACTACGCTTTAACAAGTGGATCGAACAGAACCAATCGATAACGACACGTGAAAATCACCTACTGGAACAGCTGACTCAGTCGTTTCGATGTAATTCATTTTCTGTTGTTGTCTATCTTGACTTCAAGCAAGCCTTCAATTTATTATGGCAACAAGGTTTAATTCTGAAACTACACCGTTTCAACTGTCCCTATTCATACCTGTTTTGGATCGTCAACTACTTCACAGAAAGATCCACTATCATCGACTATGAGGGGCACCTATCAGATAAAATTGACGTATATCGCGGAGCATCGCAAGGAAGTTGCTTTGGACCTGTCGCATACGTCGTTGAGCATTATGACCTACCATCAGTGTTCCAAAACCCAGAACAAACACATCTCTATGTTGACGACCTTAACAACATATATATTCCGTCAATATTTCTTAAATATTGCCAACAGAAAGAAGAAAAAGAGAAACGCATAAATAATGATATGAAAAGGATGAGTAAATGTGTCTCGGATTGGCACCAGCTAGTAAACGTCCAAAATTCGAATTAGTTATCTACTATACTTCGATTCAGTGCCCCAAATTGAACGTCGCCTATGAAAATCAGCCAGTAGCTCAAAAAAGCACCTATAAATACCTTGGTTTCTATAATGATTCGAAGTTATCGTTCAAAGGAATGCTTGATGCCCAGTTTATTAAACTTCGAAAGTCATATTCTATTCTCAAACACATACACCGATACTTTCCCGGTTTCTTCTCCTTAAAAATACGATTTTTTAATTCATATGTATGGCCACACCTCTACAGTGTAGCAACCATATACTGTCTTTTCTGTGCAACCTCAAAAGATCGTCTCAATACCTTTTATCGACGCTGCTTAAGAATAGTTTTCTGTATTTTTCGGGCGTCCGTTAAGGAATTACATTCTACGTTTCAACTTCCTACACTTGAGGAAAAACTCAAGAAATGTCTGTTAAAAAGACTAAATAGCATCCAAATGTACGAACAAAATTTCTTAGAATGTTTTCTTCTAAATAAAAATGTTGTAAATCAATTTTTTCTCCCACTACAGTATAAACAAAAGCATCAAATGGCTGCCAAGAGGCAGACCAAATAAACGGATTGTAAACTTTTCACTCAATGAAAATATGACTTTCTTTGATAAACTATGTGAGTTTGTATTTAGTGAATGATGTAGTCTCTCAATCTCGTGTCTTCTATGTTTGCTTGTTTTCTCCGTACGATATAAGAAACGGAAATAAATAACTCATTAATTCGAAAACCTTTTTTTGTAATGTAGTCAAATTTCTCCTACCTTCATGTAAAAAATAACGTGATAATTAAATGACTGTAGTTGTATTGATACAGCGACATTACCCCGAACGACAATACCGCGAACGACATTACCGCGAGCGACATTACCGCGAACACAAAAAACGACATTACCGCGAATACAGAGAACGACATTACCGCGAAGACTTCTTTGTTGGAAAAGCCGAATAAATGAGGCCGGTTTTGTATTTTG